CAGGGGAGGGGAGGAGAGGGGAGGGGAGGGGAGGGGAAAGGAAGAAGAGGTGGGTCAGACAAAAAGGAAGGGGATGTAGAGAGGAGAGAAATCACTGGGCACTTAACTGCACTGGATCTTGGCCAACTAACTGCTTAACCTTTCTGGGCTCCCACGTCTTCCTCTGCGGTTAGGGCTAACCCACTTCCAGGGGTTCTGCAGGGGTGAAGCGAGACAGTGTCTGCAAAGTGCTTAGAACAGTGCCAGCTACTGCCTTGATGATCAAACACTGCTGACCAGTAAGAACATAGAGGGTGAGAAAGGAAAAAAAAATGCATCCATCGTCCCGTGGGAGGTAAGACAAAATGTGGGTAAGAGCAGATGCCCTGGGACACCTGTAACGACACAATTGTGAGGACACGGAGCAGTCTTCCCGTGAGGCTGGCTGGCCTGGTTCTTGCCAGCTCGGTGCCACCAGTCCTTAGTGACCCTGTCATGCCCCAGGCAGTGTCTGAAGCCTGGGGTGGGGCAGCCGAGAAAATGCCTTCAGAGCCCTGAGTGCGCTGTGCTAAGTCAGGGCTTCTGGCCAAGGCAGTAATTGCCAGCTGCTGAAAGATATTAAACGCAGGGACGGAAAACCAAGTTCTCTACAAGACAGACTTTGTAGAGTTCTTACAGCTTGTAAAAAAAAAAAAAAATGTAAATAGTTACCCGGTGAGATATTATTTCATGTTGTTGCCATTAGGGTCTGAGTGTTATGCAGAGAGGTGATCATTCAGGCAATTCCGCCCCAGCAAGGAGTGAAAACCTACCCATTAACCCCTCACAACAAATCCACCACCTCTCCCTCTCCACCTGACTCAGGCATTTTTTCCTGGGTGGCAAATTTTATGTAAATTGAAGTTGTGAAAAAAATCTATAAATATTCACAATTTTCTAAAGGCGTTTTTTTTTTTTTCCCAATAGCTTTTGAGGGGCATTTTTAAAAAGATACACTGGGCTGGAGCCTGCGGGAGGATCTGCCGCCACTTCCACAGAATTCCCAGTCTAGGCTGAGATGCAGACAGTCCACTGTTACCTGGGACTCTCTTTGTCCCGACGCTCCACATGTGACATGTGTTGCCTGCCCGTGGCCTCCTGAGTCTGGGATGGCCACGCTTAGATTTTTATGCATAGGAAAACTGAAGTACGGGAAGGGGAACGTGCCCGGGGTCACCATGGCAGCATGCTTTAAGGTCCTGTCTCCCAGTGACCTAACCTCATATAAGTGCACTGCCTCTCAGTCTCCAGGATCTTCCAGTGACTAACAAACCCCTTCCTCTCTCTCAGACCTAGCTGGGTTGCCTGCAGCATCCAAATATTGTGGAAGGCATAGTATAAAATCAAGCACACACTGGGGTTGGGGATTTAGCTCAGTGGTGGAGCGCTTGCCTAGCAAGCGCAAGGCCCTGGGTTCGGGCCTCAGCTCTGAAAAAAAAAAGAAAGAAAGAAAGAAGAAGAAGAAGAAAAATCAATCACACTTGTAACTCCTGCTAGGGCCATCAGGAGTTCTAGCCCAGTCAGAGCTACCTTGTGAGGTCCTGTGTAATAGAAGGAAAAAGAAACGGCTGGCATGCAGATCATTCTTTACCACAATGTCATAGAAACAGCCTTAAATAGCCTTAACCCTGTCCTGTTTAGGTCCCTCATTCCCAGGGCAACCAGTGAAGGGCTGGCGAATGAGGTCCCATCCATCTGCCACACGCTTGCAAGGGGAAGATTTCTGCTATAGGCTCTGTACTGCATCATTTTATGGGGGCTTTTTAAACCACACTCCTAACGCAACGCTTTGCCCACAGCTGGCCCTCAGTAAACACGGTCCAGTTGATGAATGAGTCATACTCCCTCCCAGGTGGCAAGCCATTCCTTTGAAAACTGAACTTCCTTTCAGTCGGCTGGGGCCCAGCGTAGTGCTCTGTATGGGGTAACAATTTTGCTAAGTAAATGTCAGAGAGTGATTTTAATAATCATCTGCAAGTGTTTTAATTAGGCCTTCGGCCTAGCTCGTGTGTGTGTGTGTGTGTGTGTGTGTGTGTGTGTGTGTGTGTGTTTCCCATTTTTTTTCCTCCCAGAAGGAAATTGGACAGATCCAGTCAAAGAAACCCTCCTACCCTTACCAGCATCCCAAAGTGTGTCCTTACCCTCTGTGTATGCTGTGGAGTGTGTCCTGCTCACTGTCCAGAAGCAGGAAGCAGGCCTGGCCTGGACAGCATGATGTCTGGCACCATTATCCTGTCCATGCTGACTGTGTGGAGCTTAGGGAATGACTTTCCTTAAAAGGACAGCGTAGCTGGGCAGTGGTGGCAGACACCATTAATCCCAGCCCTAGAGAGGCAGAGCCAGGCGGATCTCTGTGAGTTCGAGGCCAGCCTGGTCTACAGAGCGAGATCCAGGACAGGAACCAAAACTACACAGAGAAACCCTGTCTCAAAAAACCAAAAAAAAAAAAAAAAGGACAGTGTATTATTTCATAGGGAAATTGCCTGCCCCCTTCCAGAGTCTGTATATCCTGTCTGTACACTTTCTTCCTTTTCTTCATTTGACATCTCTCTACTCCCTAATAAATGGTAAATACCCCACTGTCCTTTGTGCTGCCTCCTGGCCCTTTTTTCCACCCACATCTCTAAGTATCCACCCACATCTCTAAGTATCCACCCACATCCCTAAGTATCCACCCACATCCCTAAGTATCCACCCACATCCCTAAGTATCCACCCACATCCCTAAGTATCCACCCA